AGAAAGAAAACTTGTCTAGTAACTAAGTTCTTAAATAATAAGCAATACTTTAGCTTAAGATATAGTTAATTTTTTGTATTATGAATGGATAGCTTATTTTAGACTTGGGATGTTATGTATTTATCCCTGTACTCAGTTCTGGGAAGTCCGGGGGGGAGGGGGGAAAGGGATGAAGGGGTAGAATTATATAAAATTTGGTGTATTTATAAATATAAATGTTTGTCTTTAAGAAGAGATGATCAGCTAGTACCCCTAAACTGCATCCGAGGTGGTGGAAAAGAAGGTGATGGGATGTGTAGGATAGTTGGAAAGGAGGAAAGAGGAGAGGTCGTGGTTAAGAGGAGGAGGAAGGAAGAGGGAAGTAGGTAGGAAGGTTGAGGGAGTGTGGATGCAGGGGGGGGGGACTGCTGGTTATTTCTGAATACTTACTGAGTAGGCTTTTTTATGTGTTTGTTTTTCTAATGAAATGCACCATATTTGTATTATTTGTCCATATGTTTATTTGAAAAATTAATAAAATTTGTAAAATCGAAGATATAGTTAATTTATTTGAATGGTGAAAAAAGGAAAGTAACATACCTATCGGACTGTAAACACATTTTTACTTTCTCGAAATCAAAGAAAAATGTCTTAAACAGATTCTCAATAGTCAAGGAATACTCTTGTCAAATTAAACATGTCACAAGCACAAACCTACTTGCTATCTTCTCATCTGACATTCAAAGATATAACAAGAGGATTTTAGAGGACAGCACTTAAATGTATTTTGTTGGGGGAGCTCAAAATTAATTCAGTACTTTTGATAAAACAGAATTATCCAGCACTATGTGGCAATTCTCATTTTCAAATGTTTCAGTTCCATGGCTCTTACCTGGAAAGATCGCAGATGACCAGCTACTTTCACGTAGGTTCCTGGTGGAACAACCACATTTTCACTGCCCTCCTCCTTGAATAAAAAGAAGAGACAATGATTTCTTGGCATTTGTCAGCAATGTTTTACAAAGTAATGCAACTCAACCTAGAATTCCAGGATTCCATTATCTTACTTTACCCCACTGTATTACACCAAAGCTAAGTGAAAGCAAATTGCAAACTCTGTAATAAACGTAATACATTTAGAATCCACGTTCCTTCCAAATAAGTCAAGTAGCATTTGTGGCTCTCCCTTTTATTTTATTATTCTAAAATGAGTATGGATTTGAACATGAGCTTCCTCAGTTCTATAGCTGCCACATTATACTATCTCTTTTCATGCCTATTGATGCCTACGTGATATTTACATCAGTGTCGACCCACTGCCTCACATCCATTGGGGCTGCAGTCATGTCATCCACTTTGTAGAGAATATTTGTTGGAGCTTTTTCAGCATGCCTGATTATGCCCACAATAATAACCTGTATGATGAAACAGAAGCAAATCTCAATAGATTGTAACATGGCTCTTTCTACTAATCCTTGTATTTAATTAACCACACAAATGTATGTACCATGAATGGATCGTGATTTGGCACAATCAAATGAAAATTTGTCATGCCAGAGAGGAAACATTTAAATAAAACCTTTGTATAGCAATCTTGGCAGAACTAAAATCTGGAACAATGTTCGGAAGCTTCAAATGATATGCAATGTGATTGCATGGATAGTAAATGGTGCCAGTTGCTCAATGCATGTAACGCCACTATTTTGTGAGGTGTGTCGGCTGCAATTGTGCTTCTGATGCAATTCAAGGTGCCATCTGTCACCTTTAAAGCCTTTCATGGCTTGGGAACAGGTTACTTTAGGGACTGTCTTTCCCTAATTGTTTCTATTCATCCTATCTGGGTCTGACAGGATGGGCAAGTTCCAGATCCCTCTGGCCAAGAAATGCAGATTGGCGGGACCCAGGAAATGTGCTTTTTCTACCACAGCACTCACCCTTCTGGAGATTAGACCCTACTGGCCTTTCATGGGTTCTTTGCCCAGGCCTGGGACCCCAAGGGCATGAAGGATCCTGACTCCCGGCTCTGCTGGGATATCTTCTCAGCTGCTGTGTATTTTAATTTTTGTATTCATGAATGGAATTATGTTTTTAATTTATTTTAATACTCTTTGCCACCCAGAGTCATTTTTTTGTGATGGGCAGTCATACAAACTGAATAAATATAATAAATCTATAATAAAATGTAAACATAATAAAGGCAGTTTTGAAAATTACCTGTGAAAGTTCAACTTCACGGACCCTGAAAACATCATCCACTTGTTCAGCTGAAAATAGTTGTGATACTGTACAGGGAACAATGTTCTGTGACCTTGACCTCTGCAAAGATGAAATTTTTACACTATAATTCTTTTACTGTCACTTTTTCAGAAAATAAATTGGATATAAAAAAAGTACATACTGATTTTCTTTCGCCTTGGGTTGCAGAAGGCGATGTAAATCCTCCAGGTGATTGTGTATAGTTGCCATAATTGCTGTCATAACCTCCTGGAAAAATAATAGAAAAAATATGAAAAAACATTTTTCTTTGCATTTTTAAGTCTCTGAATTCTTCCAAAGCAGCAAAAGTGCATAGAAATATATTCTATGTTACTTTTTTCTTCAATAAATATTAAAATAAAACCCAAAACTAAAAATATCACGAGAGTCATGACAGTCTGCGGGGGAAGAAAATTGAGACAGCTTGGGTATTTCTGCCAGATATGACCCTATTACTTAATCTCATCATTTACACAATGCTATAATAATGCCTGGAGGCTGTATTTTATTTTATGCATATTTTAAAATTTTATTTTACTGTAAGCCACCTAGGATCACATATACGAGATGGGCGGCAATATACAACGAATAAATAAATGTCATCGTGGCTAATGTAATCATGGCGACAAACGAAAGAAAAAAAGGCTGTGGATGATGGGAGTTGCTCCGACAAAGAGGAGAAGACCTTCCGAATTCCCGCATACAAGAACCCGCTATCCGCCCTCACCGTGACCAGACCACATGCTGCAGGAATTGGAGGCCCCACGCCTGGAAAGACTCCGCAACGAACTCCGGCTTTCCTCCCCACCCACGAACAGCTCGCTTTCGCCCTCGCGCGTTTTTTCCGACACGCGCGCAAGCACGGGCGCTCGGGATAGGCCACCTATTGTCACTACCACCCGCTTTTCCCACCTCCTCCTTCTCTCCCAACCAATCGATTGATGGGGAAACCGAAAGGGGCGGGACTTTTGAGGAGCGGGTCTGGAGAGGGGCAGAAAAGCCGCCCGAGAGAGAGAGAGAGAGAGAGAGAGGCTAGAACGGCGTATGGAAAATACTGTAGTTCCGCAACTACAATTCCCAGAATTCTCAGCAGGTACACAAAAGATTTGATCTTCTGGGAATTGTAGTTCTGGGGAAGTTGGGGACTTTACTAAGTGAATTACTTCGGCTTTAACTAAGCGATTTCTTTATGGATGTGTGGTTTCTTCAGCTCTTTGTATCCCCCAGCCAGGTCAGATGGGCTATTTTCTTAAAATAGGAAGGAAGCTGAAGTTCCTGTGTGTAAGACTTTATTTGGGAAATTTTGTTTATTACTGGGAAACATACCCTTCTGTCGTGGCTATCAATTTCCCTGGCATTTGGCCATACCTTTTTCGAAAAGCGAAAGTATCTGCAGAACCGCGGCACTTTAGTTTCATTAACGAACCTTCATTAATTGAAGGTTTTATCCCTTTTTAGAGTCAGATAAGCTCTGCATTCTTTTGTTTATTTACATGAGGATATGAAGGTCTGTTGTGAAGCTTACTGGCTGAAACCGGTGATTAATGAAACACGTTTTTTAAATATAAAATTGGGGAATGCCTCAACTTTATTTTCTATAAAAAAAAGAGGATCTGCACACAAATTTGTAGAAACTTCTCCTGGTCCTTCCCAACTTTCCGGACGCTTTTCTTTTTACCTCAGCATTTCAAATGTCTGAAAAGGTTTCAGCACAAAACATCTATTTTTAGCACCTGTTTTTTTTAATATACCCCTTAGCTATTTTTCCAAATGTGAGGATTAGAACTGCATCTTTCCCTGTCAGTAAGGCGTCTGAAGCATTCCTGCACTGATCTTTTTGTTGAAATAAAGATACAAATGTGCCAGAATAAGTGGACAGCTGCAAGCCATGCCTTGGAAAAAGCCAGAAAAAGATGCAGCCAAGTTTTACATTTCAGAAAGTCAGTTGCAAATGGCACTTTAGGGAAGATTTTGGATAAACAAGTAAACTGTTGAACAAGACTTAGAAATCACCTCCCAACTTGGTTTCCTCCAGATGTGATGGACTACAGGCTAACCGTGAACTCCTGAATTGATCTATTCATTGCCCAACTCAATTTTAAAGGGACTATATAAAGTTCAAAAGTAAAATTTCATGGAATTAATTTGAGCAGCAGCATGTCTAGCTTCTACCCCAAATCTACATAATTGTGGGGAAAATAGGAGGAGGAAGGAGTATTAGGTATGTTCAAAATAAATAAACAAACAAGCAAAATCAATATTTATTACTGGTGTTCGTAGCACCTCTATTTTAAAATGGCTCAGGGTGGAATAACAGAATTGTAACACTAGAAATCTTATTTTGATCCAGCAGCCAAAAGAGAGATTTTCTTCTAAACAAGTTAGATCAATCTGGGCTGCTTGATTAATTTTTGGCAGAGAACCTGAATATTCACCTGCCTCTCCCCACCTACCAAAGCTTCTCTGCCAGAAAACAAACTTTTCCATCCTGCTACGTCAGCAAAGAGTTTGTCAAATGACAAAGACCTTAGTAACAGATTGAAGGCTTGCAAATACTGTAATATAAGGTTTGACACACCCAACAACCTCAGCTCCTTCCTTCAAATAATACACTGCTGAAGTATTTTCTAAGAATTCTGCTAAGCTGGAAGAGATGCCAAGTTTTGATGCCAAGTTGGTTCTCCCAGTAAGCCGTCAGTCAAAGATATAGGGGAGGAGAGTAAAAAGGCTGACGGATTGCCACAGCTACACCTACAGAAGAGAAAGCAGATCTGCGGTGCTTGTTGGCCACGAAACCAAAATGGACTTTTGGAAGATTCTATTGCTGTTGATGCATTGCAGAAATGTAATTGCCACTTCAGGTATTTTCCAGGGTTTTTTTTAATTGGGAAAATTGTCTGTTTAAAGAATGGCAATTTGATGATAAGTTTTAGGAGGCAACACTAGAACAGGATATGGGCACCACCCTAGGAGCTTCTTCAAGAGTTGCCACTAAATCGTTGTTTTAATATGACAGAAGAGGAACATTACACAGAAGTAATCATATTCATTGTTTAATCGATTTGCTTTTAGTTGTATCCTTTCTTCTGGCAGATCAGATGAAGAGAAACTGGCTAAGTTCTGCGCTGTTGCAACTGCCATTCAATTGGCAAAACTGAGCCTTTTAAAGATTTAGTTGCAAACGCTAATATTTTCTACTTGTTTTATGTTTTATATTTGGTATGCAGAGACTCCCTTTGGACATGTGTCTTCATTTTAAGGGGCTGATCTGTGTTTATAATTAACTCAGTCCATTGAACTCATTTGAACCACACATACTGTAAATCAAGTCGAGGGTCGTCCTTGCCCCATCCATTCCTTGACTATGGTGCTACAGTACTTAATTTTTGGAGGGCGGCTCAGACACACCACTCAAAATCCAAGAAAAAAAGTTAGTTTAAGACAAGAGGATGAATAATTTTGCAGAGTGGGCTTGGCAAGCATGGGACAAGCTTGCAATTACACAGGAACAGTCCTAGACATTTTGTTGTCTGCAATAAGGAACATTGGTTCTGGGGAATACAAAAACTGAAACAAATATTGAATCATTTTATTGTGAATTTTCTGTCTGCTGATGCAGGTTCCTTCTGGCATATCTCAGACCTTCATCTTGACCCAGAGTATCAAAAGTCCTCCGATCCCTTGAAGGTGTGTCCATCTGCTGGCACTCAGCCAGTGATCAGTGCAGGAACCTGGGGTGATTACTTGTGTGACTCTCCCTGGATTCTTATCAACTCTTCTATTTATGCCATGAAGAAGATTCTTCCTGATCCAGACTTTATTCTTTGGACTGGGTAAAAAAAAAAGCATGAGTCCTATGCCATGTAGTAAACAACAAAACAAACTTTTATTTAACCCCTTAGCTGGCTAACCATTCAAGAATAGCTGTTCATTCATCCGCTTAACAATTTACTTGAATATGATAACCATTCAGGATTCCCATGCAAATATGTGAATATGTTAGTTCAAGAGAGATAGCTTTTCTATTTATTAAATTTATATGCCACCCGTAGCTGCATGTTGCCTGTGATGGAAGAAATTGTTTTAATGAGGTTGAGAATAAAACAGAGATAATGGATTGGAATACCTACACCTACTGTATGTCTTTGTAGATTTCTATCCCTTTTGTCTCCCTGCCTCTTAGTCTAGTCACTTGTTAGGCTAATTTCAATCACAGTTGAGACCTGGGATGAATACTTATTTTATTCTTTCTTATATGTAGCTTATCTAGGTTTATGCTTAGTATCTGTGGGGTTTACTAGAATGTGTTTTTGCTGTTTTCTAGAGATGATACTCCTCATGTGCCAGATGAAAAGCTGGGAGATGAAACAGTGTTGGAAATAATAAAAAAGCTAACTAACCTAATCAGACATGTCTTTCCAGGTAAAAAAATAGTAGAATAAGTGGGCAATAACAAGCTAAGTCCTGTGAAAGACCACAACAAAATGCAGCATTTTACATTTTGTATAAAAGTTAACATGATACATTTAATATAAGACCTATGTACTGGAAAAAAACATACAGAAAGGGGTACACATGTGATGGTTTTGTGAAGTTCTTCAAGTGTTCTGGTGCAAAGTTTTTATTAAATTGCCATTGTTATGGTTGGTTGCACAGCCAGATGTTTAGATTAGGTTATTATTATTAAACTGAGATGATGTTTAGAACATTAAAAATACAAATTTGTGTTTTGTTTTGCTAGCTGTAGCCAGTCAAGTAGCAGCAAGATCTTAGAAAACAGAAGGATTTGAATATTTCCACAGGGTTGCAAATATGTTGGATATCACCTTAATAGAAAAATTGAATGAAAAAATATTACAGTAATGAAGAGGATGATTTTTATCCCATCTGGTTTTAATGTATTATGTGCAACAGAAACATAATGATTGTTTACTAGCCAATTCTATATTCCTGATTAATTAAATTAAATCATATGTATTTTGCTTTCATGTGGTCTTCAGTGTCCTAAAAATAAGATTATATAAAGTTCCAAAAGTTTTCAAGTTCAGAAAGTTAGATGTAACGTGCACTTTTGGAAAGAAAAATCTCATAGTCTAAATTAGTACTAAGCAGCAGGAGCAGAATAACCTTCCCATTCTGCTTATTCCAAATGTTTTGAGGCTGCAAATTTCAAAAGTCATAGCCATCATACAGGTTTCAGATTGTGCAAGAAAAATAACAGAATGTTTGTCTTTGAAGATTACTGAGAATATGTTGCGTAAGCAGCAGCAAGTATAGACAAGATTGTATATACTCTTCTCTCAGGTTTCTCCAAGAAATATGTTCCTATTTCAGGATAATGGGAAGAATTTACATATGCCGATATATTTCTTTAGGGGAAAAATGTAGCCCAATCTCCATAGTGTGACTTGGTGCAGACAGCATATGAAATCCTAGCTATGGTTTCATACGGTTGTTTGATTTTCCAGATATAGCAGTGTTTTTCAACCTTAACCACTTTTAAGATGTGTGGACTTCAACTCCCAGAATTCTCCAGCCAACATGCTGGTTAAGGAATTCTGGGAGTTGAAGTCCACACATCTTAAAGTGGCCAAGGTTGAGATACACTTGAGATATAGAGTAGATTCACTATGGTTCAGAATCCTTTTTGCTTTGGCTTTCCATATGCTCAGCTCCATAAGTACATAAATTTACCATCTGATAAAATTAAAGTACCTTCCTGGTTAATTTCAATCTATAACTTGATCTCCTTGTTCGGTGATTCTCCTGTCTAGGTCCACATTTTGTAAATTAATATAGTTTCAGAAAAAAGTTACACTGTGATTACTCTGTGCCTAGGAATACCATCTCTGGTACCCCTTTTCAGATTTTGATGGAAAAAGGAATTTTGAGTCCA